GAAAAGGGCTCAATGATGAGTTATCCAGAGTGGTGAATTAGGTATAAATAAATGCGGCCAGGATATTGACAGCTTGGTGATTTAAGTGGTAGTGACAAGTCAGGAGATTACTGCATTTGGGAAATCATTACAATGGAGCACAAACAGTCATCACTGAAACAATTTAGGGGTGAAGCGGTAGAAGAAACATAATATAAAGGATCGTTAGAATATGGAATGTTTTGTCCTAAGTGGCTATTTGAGCCTAAGAAGACTTTTGAAGTAAAATGGACGAACATTTTGAAGAAATAAAATATAAAGGGGTTCAGAGAATAGAGCAAGGAATGGAACTAGTGTAGGTCGCTCCAGTGGATGAGCTGCTACAAATTTTGGTTCAATGGGCTGAATGGCCTCCTCCTATACTGTAATTTCTATGATTGAATGAACTGTATCTAAAGAATAGATTGCTCCCAAACTTCTCTAATCTGTGACCAGTTGATAGATGATAGATTCTTAACGATAATCCTTGCATTTGATATACATCTTCGTTTCTCTCTAATTTGATGTTGTTATTTTGTAAGTAGGAACCCGGTTGTTAAATCGATTGGCAGATCACTTCCTGGGGGTAGTAATCCCTACAAAAAAAAAGGCGTCACTCAATCCACGATTGTTTGTGGGACACTGCTGTGATGTGTTTTGCCCACTTTACAATATATTCTGTGAAGCACTTTGAGACGTGTCAAGGATGTGATAAGGTGCTATATCAAATGCAAAATTATTATTTTCTATGGCGGAGAACAGCAATTGATGACAAATCAGAAATGTATGGCCCCCCCATTCCAATCTCAGTGGCTTCATGAATTGATGCAAAAGTTTCACTTTCCAGTGATTTGTTAATAATTCTGACTTGGAATAATTTAAATTACTTTATGTTTTCTATGTCCTGACCTCTGCATGAGAAATCAGTGTGCTGCTGGTTCACTCTGGCATCTGCTGTGCTATGTTTATTTTTGCATCTGCTGGTGGAATTACTGCAGTAATACCATGCTGTGTTATCACATCCAGGCTGGATTATTCCAATGCCCCACTCAGACTCACCAGCTCTTTCCTACACAAATTGCAAACCTTCCAGAACTCTGCAGCCCTCTCTTGTATCAAGCACCCAATCAACTGTGTGAGGTGCTTTGAGATGCCCTCCTGATTTGAAAGGTGCTTTATAAATGTAAATTATCAAAGATTATTCCAAAATTGAAAAAAATCCCAAGTGGAAGTCAATATTTTAGATAATTTGGGGGTGAAATTTGTCTTGCTGCTCAACAACAACAGATTGCATTTATATAATGTCCTTCATGAACGGCAGCGTCTTGGAATTCTCGACAGTGGCAGAAGTTGATGCCGAGCAGGAGAAAGAGGGCTGGTATTGTAGGCAGAGTTGAAGAGGAAGGTCTACAAGTGAGATCTGAAGATCTCAAGGGGAAGGGATTGCGAGGGAGAGTTCTAGGGTTTTGGCGTGTTGTGGCCTTGAAAGCATGGCTGCACATAGTGGAGCAGAAGGAATGAGGAATATGCAGAAGACCGGAGCTGGCTGAACAATGTAGGTGGGGAGAGGAGGTAGGAAGGTGTAAGGGCATGAAGTAATTTATACGTTTGTGTGTGTGTGTGTGGACCTTAAAATTGATCCATTCTGCAATAAAGAACCAGTGGAGCGCTGATAATGCAAAATCTCATTCTCAGCAAACACTGTTCCATTCTTATCTACACAAGCAGCATTTGAATCTAATTTCATAGAATCATAGAAATTTACCATACAAAAGGAGGTCATTTAGCCTATCACATATGCACCAGCTCTCAGAGCAAGCTGCTCATTCAAACTCACTGCTTTGATCCCCATAACCCTCTATCCTTCAAACCCCTGTCTACTTCTCTCTTGAAACCCACAATGGACTCTGCCTCTATCACCTTACTTAGCAGGGCATTCCACATCCCAACAATGCTCTTGAATGGGGGGAAAAAAAAGCCCAAATTACTTTGCTCTCTTCATGACTATGTAACTATGGTCTTAGTTACTGCCTCCCCTATCAGTGGAAATTTGTCATTTCTTACTGGGTTAATTTAAAGAAGACTCAAAGTTGAGGACTCAAAGTAATCATTATTCCACACTAATCTCTGAGGCTATCTACCTGTGGAGTTTCCAAGAATCAACAAATTCTTACAGATTCCTTATTGAAAAATACTACAAATGTGACTGATGCAGTATCCTCTCTTTCAGCTTGCTCCACCAATATCTTGCAGTATTTTCGAGGCTTTCCGAGGTTTCCTGTCTTGGAGCTAACCTGTATGCTCCTTGTTGCTCCTGAGTACTCGGTAGGTCAAACTTTCAGCCTTCACACTTTCTTCTCAAGAGTTGTCACAATCACCTTTCTTCTACTCAGAACCTGGGATGACCTCATTCCCAGAGGTGGCATTGGCTTAAGATGTAGGTGAATCTCCTTTGGAAAATATAAAATGTAGAATTTTTTTTATTTTTTACTGTATTAGTAAGTCCTTTTTCTATTTAGATTTATGCAATTTAATTTCTGTTATCCCCTTGTGCCTTGTATCAAATATATTGTTTAATGTCCTATTGCCACTGGGTTAACTCTAATGTATATGTGTTTAATATATTTATCGTGAGTGATGTACAAGTTTATGCATGTTAAATTAACTTTTTCACAAATGACAAGTCTCTTGTATTGGTTTTCACAAATGCAAAGTCTCTTGTTTTCCTCACCAACATTTTATATTCTACATCTAAAAACAAAATTCTTGGACTAAAATTTCAAAAAAGTTAGATTTGTTTGGATTACTAATGTTTCTTTTTTTTATTACCAGTATCAAATACTACAACAGTGGTTTGTCCAGCTGTTGAGGTGGTACATTAGCATAGAATTATACAGCACAGCAGGAGGCCATTTGGGCCATCATGTCTATGCCGGCTCTTTGAAAAGAGCTATCTAAATCAATCCCACTCCCCTGCTCTCTCCCCATAACACTGCAAACTTGTCCTCCCCATATAATTATCTACTTCTCTCTTAAAAGTTGTTATCGAATCAGCTTCCACCACCCTTTCAGTTAATGCATTCCAGATCCGAACAACTCGCTGTGTGAAAAAAAATTCTCCTCACCTTCCCTTTGTTTCTCTAAACAACTATTTTAAATCTGTGTCCTCAGGTTATCAATATCACCGATATCGAATCCCTTCATAATTTTGAAAACTTCTATTAAGTCTCCTCTTAACCTTCTCTGCTCCAGGGAGAATAATCCTAGCTTCTCTAGCCTTTCTGAGCTGTCCTTTCTCCCTCACATCCGCACCACAACTGGCACCGCCTTCCATCACCTCCGGAACATCGCCAGACTACGGCACTACCTCACCCCTCACGCTGCTGAAACCCTGGTTCACGCCTTTGTCACCTCAAGGCTGGACTATGGGAACTCTCTCCTCGCCGGCCTTCCCGCCACCTCCCTCCACAAGCTGCAGGTCATTCAGAACTCTGCAGCTCGTGTACTGTCCCGCACCAGACTTCGGGACCACATCACTCCCACCCTCGCTCGCCTCCACTGGCTCCCCATCCCCCAGAGGATCGAATTCAAGATCCTCATCCTCACCTACAAGGCCATTCACGGCCTTGCTCCCTCCTACCTCTCCAACCTACTATCCCCCTACCTACCTGCCCGTACCCTCCGTTCCTCCGGCTCCGGTCTGCTCCACGTCCCCCGCCCCAATCGCCCTACCATTGGTGGTCGGGCCTTCAGCCTCTCAGCCCCGAGGCTCTGGAACTCTATCCCCCAGTGCCTTCGCCTTGCTTCCTCCCTCTCCTCCTTCAAGGCCGGTCTCAAAACCTTTCTCTTTGACCGAGCCTTCAGCTCCCCTCTCGACTCTCTTCCCCCTTCTCGCTCCCTCCCATCACCCTGACCATTTCCCCCCCCCCTCGCTCCCTCCCTACCCTCACCCTGACCATTTCCCCCCTCCTCGCTCCCTCCCTTCCCTCCCCTCACCCTGACCATTTCCCCCCTGCTCGGGTCATGACCCAACTGTACAGCGCCTTGGGACGTCCTCCTGACGTGAAAGGCGCTTTATAAATGGAATCTTGTTGTTGTTTCCTGATAACTGAAGTCCCTCATTCCTGGTACCATCCTGTTAAATCTCTTATACACCTCTCCAATGCCATGACATTCTTCTTAAAGTGTGGTGCCCAGAACTGAACACAGTACTCTAGCTGAGGCCTGACCAGTGTTTTTATTCAATTTAGAAAGAAGAAAGGCAAAGTGCCTATTATGTGTTCACAGCACTATATTATGTAGTAACATGTTTTTTTTGTTGCAGGCAGCCATTTTGCACACAGCCTGGCTCACTTGGTAGCACTCTTGCCTCTGAGTCAGAAGGTTGTTGGTTTAAACCGCCTAACAGGACTTTTCTATGTGGGGGGGAGGGGGTTGGGATTGGATTGGGCAGCAGTTTAACCTCTTTAAAGGATGCACCTCCAACAATGCAGGTTTCTCCCAGCAATGCACTGCATTGGAGTCTCAGCTTAGACTATGACTTCACGTCCCAACATGGGTCTTGAATATTTGTGGCCACATGTGCCATATAGAAAGGATTTTCTTGTCCTTCTGCACACAAAAATACCATAAGTAGAATTCCTTTTGGTAACTTCATTTTAAAGGGCACCATCATTAATGGAAAATGTGGCAAACACTCAATGCAATGTGTTGTGGAATATCACTGCTTCACTTGCTTGGGACCATTTGTCTGATGGTTCTTTTTTGTGTGTGTGTGTGTGCCTCTTCTGCCCCCTTTAAGGGGGTAAACGATTGGGATAATTTCTTTGTTAACCTTAAGAAATGCTTGGGTGAATTTTACTTGTTGAGGTTTATTTCTCCTGCTGTGATGCTTCTTGTTAATTCAATCTGTCCTTTTTTTTTAGCTGGCTTTTTCACTCCAGCTGTGCTGAATCCAAGAGGAGTTTGGTGCAGTTTGGACAATGAAAGCCAACACCAAACAGTGGAAGCATCTAGTGCTGATTGGCATACTGGCATGGGCACTCGTCGTCTTGCTGCTGTTTATATATTTCACAGACCTCAAAACAGATGAGCGTCCAGCCAGATCTTTAAGATACACGGAGACAAGAAGTCTCTTCCCCATACAGGGTAAACAGAGAGTTATTGTAGGAAACTTGCAAAATTCAAAGCTCTCGCCAGTTCATGGAGAAAATAACCTGTACTTTGAGGATCATGACGATGATGTGAGTTTGTTGGGTTTAGATTCATTGAATGGTCAAAATCTAAAATGGACTCGCGAGGAGGATAATGGTGAATTTGAAGTGACAAAGAGAGTGAAGGACAGGAAGATTGCTGCCCACCAGCAACCTCCAAACTGGGTGATGGAGCAGGTAGTTAATATTACTAAAGATGCCAACACCTATGATGAAATTGTTGTTCAAGATGCTAAACCTCACAAAAGAGCAATGAAAAGACAGGAACAATCAAGCTATTCAGTAGACCCATTTCTTGACAATCTAGATTCCTTAGACCTAGAGGACTTGCAGTTTTCCAAATCCAAGGCAGTACTTATCAAACTATGGAAGGGAAATTTTACCTACAATGAGCTGAACCCTCGGCTGCAGAGAGCCATGAGAGAATACATATATGAAAATAAGCACGGTGTCCAATTTAAAGGGAGAAGGGGGACTAAAAAATTGAGTGGAGACGAACTTCTCTGTGAGCTGAAAAAACGAGTTAGACTAAGAACCCTTGACGGGAACGAGACTCCATTTTCTCTACTCGGATGGAAAAAGTATGTTCCCAAAATTCCACTGAGCAAGATCAAGCTGAAGCTACGGGTCTTCAGAAAGTGTGCTGTAGTCGCATCTGCTGGTGCAATATTGAACTCCTCCCTTGGAGACGAAATAGGTAGGAATGGAATTTTTGTCACTTAAAATGTAGTACAGTATTTAAGGTGTTTTGTTGACCGGACTTTCTAGTTTGCAAGCCAGATGTCCCTCTATATAAAGAAAAGGCAAGCACTTGGAAAACTTAAAAGATGTTGGTGGAATTGCACTTAAGGTCTGTTATAACCTATTGAGGGTGCAATCTGAATAATAGTATGTTTGTAGTCATATGTTTCTCACAACTGCACTCTGTCCTATGGTGTTCTCCATTGCTCCCTCTGCTTTGAAGGTGGTGACTCATGCTGGAGTAGGTGTAATGGATGAACTGGAAGCTTTCCAGTGCTTTGCCCAGGAACCATTCTTCTGGTTTGAATCTAGACAGTGAGTGTCTAAAGTGTCAAATGGGCTCCTGTCTCTGGAGGTAACTGTGCAGATGCTAAATCAGGATGTACTGCCTTATTGGCACCTGGCTGAGAATGATGAATATAGGACAGATCCTGAATTAGACCTGGGACCTTCTTGGTCTGTATGCACTACATGTGAGATGCTCACAGTAGCATACTTTAACTGCAATAAAATTCCATGGAAATGCCATGTGTGAACATTTCCTTTGAATCTTTTACAACATCTGGAGAAATATGCAGTGATACGTGTGCCAGTGTCTGTCCTTAATATGTGTAAAGGGCTGACAGTGCTACAGTCAAGAGGGTTCGATATATGGGGGAATGCTCTCCCCTGTCTCATTCCCTAGCCACTGGCATAAACTTAATTAACCCACTACTGTGATATTTGATCACTCTGCTACTTTGTGCTGGAAGATTGCTGCTTTCCAGGTGGCTGATTGGAGTGTGCTTATCAGGGAGAGCGGTCATAAAACAGTGAGTGGAGAAAAGTGACCGTGAAGAAGTACACTTTATTTTTGGAGTTAAATCAGTTAAATAGCCAATAGAGCAATGCAATGATTTTAAAAATGTATTATGCCAGAAGGACACAGAACTTTCATTTGCGAATCGACTTATTCTTTTGTTCAATTTAGTATTTAAAAGATGGTTACACTTTATTTTGAAGATAATCTTTGTACCTGCCTGTTCTGAAGACTGCTTGACACAGCAAGTGGCCTTCAGAGTTGGCAGATAGGCAAAAGGTCATGTGCAGCAACATACAACGGTAAAGGTAAAATATTAAAATGAAACAAATTTAGTTTTGAAATCTTATGGCCTGACAACCAGCACGTTGAACATTTTTTCACATGGGAAGCTTGTGCACATGCGCAATGAGCAGGAAGTGTTGTCAGTGCCAGCCATTTTTTTGGAAATGGCTTGAGCCACAACTCCTGAGCCCCACATGTACAGTATAGATTAGGTTACGTTGAGGCATTCATTTTAGCTTTGTGCCCCCGATGTAAGGCAATGCTTGGGTTTATGGACATGAGTGAATGGAGTTCTTCTGTAATAGACCCCAGTAAAACTGAACACTGATATTCTGTGAAAATTGACAGACAAAAATGAGCAGGAAGATACTGGAATAATAATAATAATAATACTAATCCTTGCATTTGATATAGCGCTTTTCACGTCGGGAGGACGTCCCAAAGCGCTTCACAGAACACTGTAAAGTGAATTGACTGTATATTTGTGGGCGAATGCGGCAGCCAATTGCGCACAGCAATGTCCCACAAAGAGTCGTAGATTGAAAATGACCAATTTATTATTGTTTTTGGTTTTGGAGGGATTATTATTAGGCGTGTGGAGTAAGGAAACTTGCCCAAGGTTTCGCCCTGCCTGGAATACCCAGTAGCAGCTGCCATTAGTGTGTTCTGCTGGGTCTGTACTGGTCTCATAATGACCTTCAACAATAAGATCGTAGCAACAAACTGTTTAATGCCTACTTTTATTTTCGGGGATGGGGGAGAACGGAAACTTGAATATGTGACTTACTTAAAGTGGACCTGAAATTGTAGTTTGGGATGAAAACTGCTTTCAAATAAGGTGAAATTCACTTTATCTGCTATTTTGCTCAAGAACTTCCAAAATGTTGCAGCAAAGCTATTAAAATGTTAATATTTTCTGGTTACAAATGAAGATTTGCTCCAAACCTTTTCCTGCATTCGTCAGAAAGCTCATCCTCTCATTCAACGTTCAGATGAAGTGATATTATGTTGTGAATGTTAAAATGTTACATTATTAATGTAACTTGATCTGGGTTTAGGTATGTGGCTAATGAGTTGTATATATTTGTATCAAGCAATTCTGTATGTATGTTCTGTGACACCGCCTCTTGTGAAATCAGGGGAGAAATATTGTGTTGTAAGTGGACTTGATGAAGATCGCGAGATCACAAATTCATAAGACTTGTCTGATGAAGAAAGGCTTCTGGCCCATCTGATCTCATCCCTCCTGAATACCCATCCTACCATCCCCGCTTCAAGCTGCTCTTCTAAATGAGCCTAGCGTCCTGGGCTATACTACCTTTCCTGGCAACTTGTTCCAGTCGTTAATTATCCTCTGAGTAAAGAAAAACGTCCTGGCATCTCTCTTGAAATTGCCCTGTACAACTCTAAACCTAAATCCTACTATCACGATACATCTGAAAGTATTGATCTGGGTTTACTTTTTCAATCCCATTTAAAATGTTATATTTCTATGAGATCTCCTCTGAGTCGTACTCTCTCAAGACTGAAGACCTTAGCTTGTTTAGTTGTTGCTCCAATGTTGAAATGACAAAGACTTAGAATATTTGAATGCAGCTATGTTTTTCTGCTGTGTCACTAAATTCAAGAACAAAGAAAAACAAAAAGTGCAAGGTTTTTTTGGTAAACTGTAGAAAAGTGTGTGGGACACCCTGCCAGGACAAGTGGTGGAACAACCAGGTCTATGTTGTGATTCTTCTTGATGAGATTCCTGCATAAGGAATATTAGTCCACAAATGCAAACAGTTGAGAAATAGCAAACATGAAAAGAAATCACACCCTAAAAGCATGCGTGCAGCAGCCCACTCATTCCTGGGTATCGGCGGGCTTTCAAGCTAAAATGGCTGACTTTCAGTACATTAAGTCACCATTGATATCGCTTCCTGTTTGCTGTGCATATGCAAAGAAGGAAGTGATGATAGTGATGACCTGATGATGCGGAAGTCAGCCATTTTAACTTCCCACGCTAAAGAAGAATGGTTGGCTACCGGGTCATCAGGTCACCATTGATGTAGTTTCCTGCTTTGTGCAGGAATTGACTGAACAGGGACCCGATAACCCAGACATTTGGGCATTATTTGTAGCAGAGGAACAGTCTGGCTGCATTGCATGTATATGCAGTGAAATCGGCTGTTGCACCTCATATTCTATTTGTTTTTGTTACCTCTACAGTTTTACACTTTAAATGAAAGTATTATTCTTTGCTATGTAAATTCCATATTATAACAGTAGATGGAACAAAACCCACCCACATACACACAGGTTTTAATTTTGTACATGCAAATATCTTGTGCATCAACTGGGCTGGTGTTCCACTTTTAGAATGTTTATCAGACCATTGAAAATATGAATTCAAATAAAGGTTTGTAGATTGGGAGTGATATTCTTCCCATTTGGAACCTGTTAACTCTGTCCAGCTAGGACTGTGGCTTACAATCAGTGGGAAGCTTATTGGTCGGCCAGTGCTCTCGGTGGTAATCGATATGCTCTTAGCTGGTTTGCAGATTGCAAATGTCTGACGTTTTCTCAAATTGGCCTCCTGTTTCAATATGAGCCTCAAATGTCATTCATCGCTATAATGAGGAACAAATGGGGAAAAAGAGCAGGATTTCTGTTTTGATCCCAAGCACGCATCCCTAAAGTTAGCTAGAAATTTTGGAAGAAAGGTTGTGTATCTGCCCCATCAAGTCCATTATATTAGCTTGTGTCACCTCTAGAATTGTAATCCTATTCCCTCCAGTCTTACTCTCTTGTATTTATATTTCATTCTTTCCCTTTGAAAATCTCAATCCATTTGGCATTCATGGGATTCCAGGGGCATTGCATCTGTATTCTCACAACCCTTTATATGAACTAATGTTTTCTTTGCTCACTTTCAACCTATTTTTGCTCTCGTTTTATTAGTCAGGAAGGTCCAACGCACTTTTGAAGGCAGGGCTTTGGAGAGCAGACATGGGGAAGGGATTCTTCCAATTTGGCTCATAATGCCTCTGAAACCAAAGTCCAAGCTTGCCAGACAGTGCTCTCAATGGGGCACTTTCAGCTGGTTAAACTCTAGCATTGCACACTCTGAGGTCCCCAAATCTTGGCATCTGCCCTCCCCAGCATTACACTTTCTGACACTGCTATTTTTACTCCTGGGTAAGGATGATCGTCCCTCCAGGAGAGAATGCAGATTCCATTTTAGACGCGGGGAAATCTCCGTAGGTGCCATGCCTATGTTTGGTTTGAACAAGTGTGGTGATGAGGTTCCATATGTGTCAAGATACCCAGCTGGCCATATTTGTTTTAATGTCCCCTTGTTCTGCATGTTTCCTTACTCTACACGGCTCTGTTTACTAGCAATAAGTAGGAAAAGTTGTCAGTCGATTGGTGGATCGCTTTTCCAGTGGTAAAAATTACTTCCAAAAAATACTAATTTGGTCACTCAATCCATGACTTTGTGTGGGACACTGCTGTTCGCAATTGGCAGCCAAGTTTCGCTCACAAAATTTACAGTCAATTCACTTTGCAGTAAATTCTGTGAAGCGCTTTGAGACATCTCAAAGATGTGATAAGGCACTATATCAAATGCAAGGATTATTATTGTTATCTAGGCAATATAAGACAAGTTTACCCAGGTTCTCATCATAGCTCAGTACCTTCGTTCCAGGTATTATTCTGGTGATTTTTAAATGCATCTTGAAGAAAGCTGCATTGGAAGTTGAAGGGAACAAATAACAAAATATTATAGTATCCACTAAAAAGCTTGAACAACAGAAGAGCAAGTCTGCCATCTCATGGTGGTAAAGAGATTTGCAACACTACAATTTTTTTCCTTTCATTATAAATGT